GCAGAAGCTGATGGAGAGGGCCGTGTGGGACCAGATCCAAATCCTCCTGTACAAACAAATACAGAAGAGAATGATTATTGGCAAGACCCTTTGTCAGATTCAGATTCAGAAGACAGTGAGTCTGATTGGAGGGAGACTAGAGCACAGGAGGCAAGTGTAGATAATGATGTAAGCCAGAAGACTGCCAAAAAGTCCTTCAGTTGCTCTGAATGTGGTAAACAATTCGTCTATGAGCAGTCCCTCACCTCACATATGAAACTCCACACAGAAGGCTGCAAGTTTTGTGGTAAAACATTTATGAATCTTTCATCGTTAAAGAAACACTTAAGAGTCCACACGGGAGAGAAACCATTTCACTGTGACGTTTGTGGTAAAAGCTTTAGTCTTCAGGGAAATATAGCAAGTCACATGAGAGTACATACTGGAGAGAAACCGTATACCTGTGACGACTGTGGGAAAACGTTTAAAAAAAGGGGACATCTTACAGTACATTTAAGAGTTCACACAGGTGAAAAACCATTTGGCTGTGATGTTTGTGGTAAACAATTTAGTCAAAATGAGTACCTGAAAACACACATGAGAGTCCACACAGGAGAGAAACCATTTAGCTGCCAAGTTTGTGGTAAAAGCTCAATCAGAAACACATTCCTTAAGACTCACATGAGAGTCCACACAGGTGAGGATCTGTGTCATTGCAATGTTTGTGGTAAATGATTTAGTGTGCAAAGAACTCTTGAAAAGCACATGAGTGTCCACACTGGTGAGAAACCGTATGCTTGCAAAGATTGCTAACCTGCTAAAAAGTGCTAACCTGAAGTCCCACACGCGAGTCCACACAGGAGAGAAGCCATTTAGCTGTTGCTTTTGTGAAAAAAGATTTAACCGAAGCTCCAATCTCAAGGCACACATTAGAGTCCACACTAGCGAGAAACCCTACGCATGTGATGATTGTGGGAAAAAATTCAACACAAAGAGTCACCTTAAGTCACACCTGAAAGTCCACAAGAAGAAAAACCATTTAGCTGTGATGATTAAGGAAGACTATTTAGCAAAAAAAGCAGATATTTAAAAACAAATGATCAACCTACTCAAAGGAAAAATACATTTCCCTTTATCTAGCAATATTTAGACTCAGTAGAAATGTTTTTGTACATTACATTCAGAAATACTGAACGCAACAGCCACCAGCTGAGTCGATGCGCTGTGATGATACTGTATCCTATTTGAATTTGTGTCTTTATTTCACTTGTGCTCTAGAAGCAGTTCATGTTTCATCTGAACAGAATCCAGATACCGGTTTTGTACACTGCTTAGCCATAGCTAATGCACATTGTGTCCAGATCATGTTCCAATAAATTACAAATGCGAAATGTTACCATGTGTCTTTTCTGTTGACTTTCAGTCATTAAAAATGTTCGTAAAAATATATATTTTTAACTGATATTCATTTAAAAAGTAGTTTTCACTTATTAACATGGAATTTTGTTACGCTTTAAATATTGGTTTGGATTGTCCTTAATTCCATTGTTTAATACTGTCTCCACGTTCTGACATCGGATTAAAAATAAAATAATACAGAATCTACTTCCAAGAATATTGAACAGTATGAAATAGTAAATAATCTGCTATGATAACAAACAGTGCTGCAGGAAACCCTGATTCAGCGGATCCTTTTTTATGATCCTGTAGAAACAAAGAAACTTTTCTGTTTATTGCAAATTTAATCTTCTAAATAATAAATCATTTATAAGGGTAATAACTAGTTTAATAAGTTTTGAATGTTCTATAATAGCCATGTAATAAACAACAATAGCATAAAGGAAAATATAATTACTGTGTTACTGCAAAAGTAAAGCAGCCGTTAAGGTTTATATGAATAATAAAGAGGAGGAAGTAATAAATAGCTGTTTCATTGCTTTGTGCAGTGGTACATGTTGTTAAAGAGACTTTTAGAAATGTTACCATAGGAGAAATTCTCGATTTTCCTTCAGAAACTGAAGCACGGAATTAAATTATAAACGGAGTCGGAAACATTCTGTCCACCTGGTTTCCGGGGGGATCAAAACAAAAGACGGACCTATTAGCATGTAGCTAGCTGTTGACGTTTTTTTGTGTTTAGCTTCTAGCAGATTTTCCACCTTCTCCTCCAGTTCCGGTTGCTGTTGGACAGTAAGTCGTGTCAAAAGCTTTTCGGACCAAAACGTGATCCGTTCCGGGTCAAAGTAGCAGAAAAAGGACGAAGGACGGTTTTTCCAAACGTCGTTAAAGAAGCTAAACGAAACCGAAAAACGACGGCCGAGGGCAGGGGAAACACTGACGTGGCCTTTTCGGCTGGAAATCAGAGACAAGGAACAAATGTTATGTTTTCAGAGTGACTGGAGGTGTGTGTTTGCCTCTGGACGGTAATTTAAGCCCTAAAGCGTAATGGTGGGTTTAATGGCGTCAGCTCAGAGCAGAGTTTCCGGTGTTGTGCGAAAAAGTGAATGAATGTCT